TGAACCCTGCTGCCCTTGGTCAGATGGTCGTATTGGGAAGCAGTTGAAAGGGTCCTGTGGTGTGCTCCTTCTGGGACCTTCTGCCACCCCCTGGAGGCAGCTTGAGCCCCTACCCATCTCTCCCCATCAGTGCACATTCCCTTCAGCCCTGGGCCAGCTGTGGGGCCCTCCTCTGTAGGTGCTGGCTGTTCCAGGAGGCACAAGAGTGTTGGTGTGGGACCTGCCCACTGCTCGAGATCCCCCAGGGAGAGCCCGCTCAGGCTACGCACGGGCTTCTGGCCGCATGGGTCAGCGTCACAGGACGGACAGATCAGTGGGGGAAGAGTCCTCCTGCAGTGCTGCTGCCACTGGAGGCTGGTGAGAGTGGTGCTGCCATAGAGAACAAGCCTTGATCCCTGACTTGAAAGGCAGAGTTCTTCTGGAACTTCTGCGAGGAGTGCCCAGAGTGGCACCTAAATACGTTAGAAGCGCTTGATGAAAGTTCCTCTGAGGCTTTTAAACTGCTCGAGTGAGTCTCTCTGAAGCACAGTGATGGCAAAAGGAAACCACCTCACGCTGCCTCTTTGTGCCTTCTGTCCTCATCTCCTGTGGGCCGTAGGTGTTCCCTGTCAGGATTTATGCGGAGGCATGTCTGCTGTGGCCGAATGTGTTCATTCATTCATATCTCACAGTAAGAGGGAGGGATGGGGGAGGAAGACTGCCGTATTTCCTTAAAAGTTTTTCTGTAACTCGAGTCCCTCCCACCCCCATGCGGTAACACCATCTTTTCCAGTTGGTGTCAGTGAACTCTGTTTTGGGTACCTACAGAAGCAGTAGGGGAGGTTAGGATGTGGCTGGAGGATGCTGGTTCCTGGGTGTAAATCCTGGCTCTTGCGCTTGAACTGACTGTGCCTCAGCGTCCTCGTCTGTTCGGTGGAGCCGCCTCAGAGAGGAACAAGTGAGTTGTGCGTGTGGAGCAGGTGGCTGACATGTGGAGAGTCCTCCAGGAATGCGGCAGCAGAAGGAACACGTTGAGCACCGCAGATACAACCCTGACCACCACTGCAGGACTTCTGTGCGGGGGCAGCTGCAGAACCACCACTTCAGGACAGCATGGGAGCTGCTGGAGGTGGGGGGAGCTCAGGGAAAGGGCCTTGCTACCAGGGGTGGGAAGGGAGTCAGTGAAGACGTCCTGGAGGAGAAGATTCCAGAGCCTGAGAATGTGAAATAGAGTTAGGTAGCCAGAGACCAGGCAAAGAAGGGCCATTTTCATCAGAGAACAGCATAACACTGGCAGAGGTCTGACATGTCATTTCCTGTTACTAGAATTGGGGAATGACCAGTAGATTCTTTAATTTGTTTATTCTTTCGTGCAGTCCTTCACCTCACACCTGTTCAGGGTCCGGTGGGGCTCTGGACATAGGGTGGAAGGAAACCATCTGAGCAGAGGCCGCTTGGACTGTCACCTCCGTCGGGTGCCAAGGCTGCCAGAGGACAGCTGTTACTTATGGGTGGCGGTGTGGTGCGGTGGCACAATACAGAGCTGCCCCGCTGTGTCCATGCCCTGGCGCCTCCCCGCAGTCACCATGTGCCTTGGGCAAATGTAGGCCTCAAGTCCCAGACACAGGCTTCTGTCAGTGGTGGTGGTGGTGGTGGCTGTACCTGCTCCAGGCTGCTGTGAGGGAGGGACGGGCTCCGGCCACAGACATATACCCTTGCAGAGGACCTCCCGCACCTGCTGAGGATTGTGTACAGCCATCTGGAGGGTGTTCTCCCTTGGCCCTCCCTGTAGTCCAGCTGAGTCCACATCCTTCACCTCTTTTTAACTCTTCCTTTCTTACAGAACCTTGACCTGGAGCTGCAGTCGGGCTCGAGTTCTGCCTCCTATGCAGTTCCAGCCGTCCTCCACCATGCATGATGGTGTGTTTTCCATTATTCTTCCTCCCAGAGCACTTGCACCCACCCTGACGGTGGTTCCCGATGGTCAGATTGAGTATCCCTTATCTGAAATGCTTGGGACTAGAAGTGTTTCAGATTCTGATCTTTTTGGATTTTGGAATGTTTGAATATGCATAATTAGATATCTTGGGGATGATACTTAAGTGGAAACACAAAATTCTTTTCATATACACCTTATACACATAGCCTGAAGGTAATTTTATGCAATATTTTAAATATTTTGTGCATGGAACAGAGTTTTAACTGTGACCTGTCACATGAGATCCATTGGGGAATTTTCCTCTTGTGGTGGTATGTTGGTACTCAGAAAGTTTCAGATTTTGGAGCAGTTTGGATTTTTGGATTAGGGATGCTCCACTTGAATATCCTTTTATATACAACACATGGTCAATGCTCACTAAATGTATTGCATGAATGAATGAAAACCAAAGGTCAATTTACTAAGCGTGCTACTATTTCAGAAACCTCTTTTTCCGAATTTGATTATATGGTCAATGGTTTAATATTTCAAGTGCTCTGACCACGTAATGGTTATTACCACACTGTGAAGGTAGCTGGGTGTTCAGTGATTGCTGCCCCCAGAGGACCTGGAAGTGCTTGCTGTATTTGCATTTTCTGGAATGGAAATCATGGCTTATTCCCAGGAGCCCCCAGCGGGGGCTTTGAGTCTGGTGCTAAGCGGCAGATGTGCAGATTCCCGCAGGGCGTACCTGAGCCCCGAGAGGGGGCGTCGTAGCGCACAGCGCACTCATTTCCGCATTCCTACCCCGCACAGCCAGTTGTCACAGCCATCCTCCAGTAAAAACCACAAACCAGTCAACCTCTAGGAAACAGGTAGGAAATCTAGAAAAAGCCTCAGGTGTTCACAGCATTCTTTAAAGATTCTTTAAAAATCTTTGTGATTGGAAAGACTGCTTCCTGTGCCAGAGAGTCTCTCTCCAGCGCGTTTGCTTCTGAGGTTGGTAGCTTTCAGAAAGACTGCAATGCAGCGGTTACCAAAGGCCTTGTTAATATGGAAACAACCCGTGGTGAAGCCTTTTGCTCCCCTTCATAACTGCTGACTGTTGCCTGCAGTCGGAAGGAGGAGATAATGAAGGTAATACTCCTCCGGACCTGGCAGTTTAGTGATTAGAACGGACGCGGTTCTGTGGATGCTGTGGCTGGCACAGGCATGTCCTGCAGCAGCTCTGTCAAGTTACTGATGCAGTGGGCTTCCTGGGAACGTGAAGCTGAAGATGTCTTTGCAGTTTGTGCACGATAATTTTGTTTTCATCTCTGTGTTCAGATGGTGGATTATAAGAAGGTAAGGGACTTTACAAATCATGCAGATGTGTATTTTAAATGTTTATGAATATCCCTAGTCAAGGTAAAGAATGATGATTGAATAGACCTCTTTTGAACCTAAGAAATAAAACTTTATTTCTTGTTAATGACAGTTTTGACATTTGAAGAGTTATCTTAGTCTTGACAGATGCCCTATAAGTGAATTATTGAAGATGTTCTTTGAAGAGATCTGCTTTTTCTTCAATTTGCTAAACATAGTTGAATTTCAGAGAGGTAGATACGGATGGAATATATTTGTTTCTTTAACTTAAGCAATGACAGTTACATTAATCTGGATGGAACTTTTCATCTTAAAAAATCTCAACCACTGGCTGTAGATGATGAATTCTAATCTCCTTAGTTCTTAATTTTGCCTTTAGAAGAGCATTTTCAGATGCGTGGAGCTCTGTGCTTATCCGTGGGGTGAGCTGGGTGCTACCTCCAGCTGCTGCTCTTCGTTTATCTTAGAGGGAGGCCAAGAGTCAGAGCTGAGATTTATTTTGCAATGAATTAGTGGCCCCAAACGGTATTAAATGCATTATGGGTGGTAATTTATATGTCCAATGCCAAGAAATATAATGTTGGGGTTACCATGGCAACTGCTTGCATTCTGAGAAGCTCGTGAATGGGTTCTGAACCTTCTGGCGTTGGAAGTGAGCTTTTCCAGCTGAGAGCCTGCATTCGTGATTAGTGTAAATAAATTCAGCTTTCCGTATGAAGCACATCCTTTCTCTTAGCTTACCAGAGTAGTCCATTGAGCTCAGTTCTTTCTCTAGTGACATCTGCCTTGGTCTCTTGGTTCCTGGCAACAGACTATGGCTGAGACATAGTTTTCAACTTCAGGCTGAGGAACTAGCGCGCGTGTGTCTGTGTGTGTGTGTGTGTGTGTGTGTGTGTGTGTTGGCCTACTACCTCAGTCCGTGGGCTGTGTAGAATGGGACTGGCTCATCCGTGCCTCCTGAGAGCTGGCAATGCATGATGTCTCCAAAAGCACAGTTGCAGCCGCATGTGCTGGTGGGCCCCGGCACAGCTTTCTATCCATCTGAAGGGCTTGTTTCCAGTAACATTTGCTAGGACTCTTCCTGGGAGGCAGCCCTGCCTGTTTCCAGGATATCATGGGGATTGGTTTTGGGGAGGGAGGCCCAAGTTAGAAAGACCCATGTTTTAAATGTCAAGCTTGTGAAAATAATAAATGAGGGCCTATTGTCTTCATTGCCGAAGGTCTGTTTGCTGTTTGTTAGAACTATATGTAGCATAGGCCAGGGATGGTGGCTCACGCCTGTAATCCCAGCACTTTGGGAGACGAAGGCAGGAGGATCGCCTGAGCCCAGGAATCTAAGACCAGCCTGGGCAAAATAGCGAGACCTCATCTCTACAGAAAGATAAAATAAAATAAATAAATAGATGAAGAAAACTAGTTTCCCTTGTGCATTTAAAACAATGTTGACATGATTGCCAGGGACTGAAATGTCTCTGTGATTTCAGGGGCCTGAGGTCGGAAGGTCGGAGCCTGGTGGTTGCTGCCAAGGCGGCAGCTCCTAGAGGGCCTGGCCAGACAGTGGGAGAATTTTTCATGCTCTGTAGAATTCATTCTATTTGTTAATAAACATTGAGATTATAGAATTTAAATGATGAACTTGAGGATAGACTGGCCTTCAGGCACACAGTGGGCATGTTGCTGTGGCTCACCTGTAGGCCTCAGTTAAGAAGCTTTGTCTAATCCAGTCCCTTTATTTTACAGATGAGGAAAATGAGGCCCAAAGAAGTGATGCCACTTGGTTAAGGTCCCAGTGCAGGTCAGAATCAGATCTAGGATCAGAAATCTGGCTCCTGGCTCCTGGCTCTCTACTCTTCTAAGGATCGCTGTCCTGACAGAAGAGGTTTGCTCTCAGTTAATTGTTGTTCGTTCTTTTGCTTTCCTTTTGTCAGAAAGAGGCCTGTAATAACAACGGGCATCTAATGTAGACTCTGTAATTTTAGAATTTTAAAAATTCTTGTCTTCCCTTCCTCTGGTTATTTATAGAATTTCTACTCAATGTGCTGGAGTCACCCACAGGAGGGGCAAAGGGCGTGACCTCTGCCCTTAATGCTGTGTGCTGTGATGGGAGATGGGTGCATAGCCGAACCTACAAACTGGAATGTTGAGATGAATTCTGGCTTGACACCTACGTTTCTGCTGGTCGGTGGTATTCTGTGTTCTCGCAGAGAAGCTGCAGTGCCCAGCAGTTACCCAGGGGTGAATCTCAGTCACCACCTATTAAATCAAGGTCATGATACTGTATTTACTAAGGCAGGACAACATTGTAATTTAGGCTCAACTTACAAGTTGCAACTTATTACAAGTAATAAGAGGTTCGGCTTACAAGGGTTGAAATACAGATTGATTTTTTTAGCCAGATTCCATTGAACCCTGGTTTTTAATTTTCCGATCTTGAAAGAAGACTGAGATTTTACTGTATAACTCACTCAGGGTGATATTGTGTTTTCCTAAGTGTTCTCAGTGATATCTCCCATCTCCCTATTCTTCTCACATGGGACTTTGACAGAGAGGTGCGCCTGGACTGGGTGTGTGGCCTCCCTCACCCAGCAGTATGGCACAATGGTGCTATATGACTTCTGAGTTACGTCCTTAAAAGGGTGCAGTTTTTGCCTGGATGTTCTTTTTGGGGTACTTGTTTGCCATCCATATGGTGAGGAAACCCATCTCGCCCACACAGGAGGACCACACAGTGAGTAGGGCATTGACATAACAAGATGACTTCTGTTTTCTGAGTAACTTCCACCACAGTGGTGAAACTGTGTCCCCAAGCTCAGCAGGCAGAGGTAAAACATTTTTCAAAGAAAAGGATAAGATAGGCTCCCAGTTTACCACATGGTGAAGAGAGGCCTCTGGCTCTTCCAAACTGATGCTGATAGAGCGTGGAGTGCTGGGACTTCGGTCAGGCCAGGTCCTGCCACCTCACTGTCCAGCTCTCCCGAGTGCTCCTGGCCTGCCCTGCTCTCTGCCCAGTGCTGCCTGCTGCCCTTACATGGGGTAACCTTCTGTCTCCCAGCCCCAGCCATGGGTCCCATTGCCCAGAATGCAAGAGCCTTTCTTGGCTTAGAACTTTAACTCAAAACCATCTGTTCTTAGAGGGTTTGTTTTCTTTTTTTTGGCCTGGGATTTTGAGAATATCTAACAGTGCTGGGCAGTTTTATCATTCATCATCATGGGTAGTTTGTTTTATTACAACTTGCAGCTTCATATCTTAAAACAAATTCATTTCTTGCTTTCAGATTTGCTTATCTGAAAGTTTTGTTAATAATAGTAACTTAGCACAAAGCTTCTAATATATGAGTTGATGAAAAGCCTCTCCTGTATCACCTTTAATAAGGATAATTTTGAAGTGTAATTTAATGCCCGGAAGCCAATTGGTACTGAGATTTAATTTTGTACTTGGAAAAGAAGTATGAGAAGAAAAGTGTCCTTTTTTCCTTAAATTTTTTTTTCTTAGTTGACATATAAAATTGTGTATATATTTATCATGTAGAACATGATATTTTGAAGTATATATATTATGGAATGGTTAAGTCTAGCAAATTAGCAAGTGTAAAGATAAACTCACAGTTATCCTTTTTTGTGGTGAGAATACTTTATATCGATTTTCTTTTTTTTAAACATAAAATCTTTCAGCAAAGACATCTACTTTCTCAGCATTTTTCAAGAAGAAAAGTATCTTTTTAACAAATACGTTTTCTAAGCCCTGCTGGTCTGCAACCCACTCCATTCAGTTAATATTTATCAAGCACTGACCAGGCGCAGTGGCTCCCAGCACTTCGGGAGGCCGAGGCAGGTGGATCACCTGAGGTTAGGAGTTCGAGACCAGCCTGGTCAACATGGCAAAACCCCGTCTCTACTAAAAATACAAATATGAGCCGGGCATGGTGGCGGGCCCCTGTAATCCCAGCTACTGTGGAGTCCGAGGCGGCAGAATTGCTTGAACCTGGGAGGTGGAGGTTGCAGTGAGCCAAGATTGTGCCATTGCATTCCAGCCTGGGCAACAAGAGTGAAACTCCTTCTCCCCACCAAAAAAACATATATTTATCAAGCACTACCTACACATACACCCATTCTCTGTCTCTCTCTCACACACACACACTAATAGACATAGCAGTAATATATATTAAGCATGAATACAGCAAGAAGTTTGGTATCCCAGAATTAGAACGGGGCTTTTTTCCTATATAATCTACAAAATGAGATGTTGAATTGATATTTAATACTAAGCTACTTCTTAAGCATTTAATTTTTCTTACTGCATTATGTTTCTAATTTTAAAACCTGAGAATTATGGAAAATAGGTAATTTCTACTTATCTTTCAAATTATAGATTAAATGTCCTCTCCTGGCGTGGGGGAGGTCCCCATATTCACATAAATGGGTGTGACCTCCATGTGCACTGCGCACTTCCCTTTGGTACTTTTCGTCTCACACACATGTATGTACACCCTGCACAGACACATGCCCTCTTATTGCTGGTGTTGTGTCTTCTTGCCTGTGGACTGTCAGCTCTGTGAAGGGGAGGTTTCTGTCTTTCTCGTCCCTCTCCCTTCTGTGGCACTCAGTACCTGTTGGGTGAATGAATGAATACTAGACACAGACGCTTTCCTTGACGGTGGTTGGATGATCTAACCTTTCCTTATAGTACTTTTTCAGATGTTTTCAAATTCAAGAAATCTTTTTTCTATCACTAAGTTACTACTTTTCCAAATTATTGAATACTTCTATTTTCTTCTGCCTTTAAGGAGTAGGAAACAACTAAGAACAGATGATGTCTCATGTTCTGAATGGATCCTTCCTTCCTTTGCTCTTCTCTCGAGTTCTTTCTCATGCAAGTGAACACCCATATTGTGAGGGGTAACAAATTTAAATGAGTATAGAGATGACTGAGGAGAATGAGGTAGTTTGGAAAAACTAGAAAAACCTGCCTGAGTGCTTTTGATATTTTAATTTATACGCAATTCTTTTACGTTTCATTTTTCTCAAGATAAATGCCAGACTGTGGAAAGGGTGCTGTCATTTAAAAATATTTGGGCATGTGGCCGGGTGCAGTAGCTCACGCTTGTAATCCCAGCACTTTGGGAGGCTGAGGCGGGTGGATCACGAGGTCAGGAGTTCGAGACTAGCCTGGCCAACACTGTGAAACCCCGTCTCTACTAAAAATATAAAAATTAGCTGGTCATAGTGGCACCTGTAATCCCAGCTACTCAGGAGGCTGAGGCAGGAGAATGACTTGAACCCAGGAGGTAGAGGTTGCATGGAGCCAAGATTGCACCACTGCATTCCAGCCTGGGCAACAAAGCTAGACTCTGTCTCAGGGGTGAAAAAAAGAGAATATTTGGGCGTGCATACTGCCAAAGGCGATTTACAGACTCAGTGCTATTCCTAGCAGATTACTGAGGACCTTCTTCACAGAACTAGGAAAACACTGCTTTAAAACTCATATGGAACCAAAAAAACCCAAATAGCCAAGGCAGTCATAAGCAAAAGAACAAAACTGGAGGCATTCTGTTACGCAACTTCAGACTATACTACACGACTATAGCAACCTAATAGCATGGTACTGGTACAAAAGCAGACACCAGTGGAACAAAAGAGAGAGCCCAGAAATAAGGCTGCACACCTACAACCATCTCATCTTCGACAAAGCTGACAAAAGCAATGGGGAAAGGACTCCCTATTCAATCAGTGGTGCTGGGACGACTGGCTAGCCACATGCAAAAGATTGAAACTGGACCGCTTCCCTACACCATGTACAAAAATCAACTTAAGATGGATTAAAGACTGAAATGTAAAACTCAAAACTATAAAAACCCTGGAAGACAACCTAGGCGGTACCATTCTGGACATAGGAACTGACAAAGATTTCATGAAGAAAACACCAAAAGCAATTGCAACAAAAGCAAAAAAATGACAAATGGGATCTAATTAAACTTAAGAGCTTATACAGCAAAAGAAACTATCAGCAGAGTAAACGTACATCCTACAGCATGGGAGAAAATATTTGTAAATTATGCATCTATAAGGAACTTAAGAAACTTAAGAACTACAAGAAAAAAAAAACTCATTAAAAAGCGGGCAAAGGACACGCACAGATGCTTTTCAAAAGAAGACGCACATGCAGCCAACGAGCATATGAAAAACAGCCCAAATCACTGACCATTAGAGAAATACAAATCAAAACCACAGTGAGATAGCATCTCATACCAGTCAGAATAACTATTATTAAAAAGTCAAAAATAAGATGCTAGTGAGGTTGTGGAGTAAAGGGAATGCTAATACACGTTGGTGGAGTGTAAACTAGTTGAGCCACTGCGGAAAGCAATCTGGTGATTCCTCAGAGAGCTAAAAATAGAACTACCATTCAACCCAGCAGTCCCATTACTGGTTATATTATTCAAAGGAATATAAATTGTTCTACCATAAAGATATGTACACATGTATGTTCATTGCAGCACTATTCACAATAGCAAAGACATGGAATCCACCAAAATGCCTATCAGTGGCAGATTGGAGAAATAAAATTTGGTACATTTATATCACAGAGTACGATGTAACCGTAAGGAAGAATGAGATCCTTCTGTCTTTTGCAAGAACATGGTTGGGAGCTGGAGGCCATTATCATCAGCAAACTAATGCAGGAACAGAAAACCAAGTACTGAATGTTCTCACTTATAAGAGGGAGCTAAGTGATGAGAACACATGGACACAAAGAAGGGAACAACAGACAGTGGGGCCTACTTGAGGGTGGAGGTTGGGAGGAGGGAGAGGATCAGAAAAAATAACCACTGGGTTCTAGGCTTCGTACCTGGGTTACAAAATAATCCGTACATCAAACCC